TTGTAGCTTCATAAAATTACGGTTGAACCACTGATGTCACATGGACTATTTTAACGATGTCCTTACTACCTTTCTGGGCCTTGAATGTTTCAGTTGCATTGCTGTCTATATCAGAAAGCTCTCGGATTTCATCAAAAATATCTTCATTTGTGTTCTGAAGATGAACGAAGGTCTTACGGGTTTAGAACGACATGAGGGTGAGCAATTAATGACAACATTTTCATTTTTGGGTGAACTATCCCTTCAAAGTAATGCTCTGTCATATAACACACAGCATGAAGCTGCTCACCTCTCTCTGCTTGGTCTCGGGGCACTCGGAGTGTAGCGTCAGCGTTGCGCCCTCGATGTTTCGCGGCATAGGGGTGGAACCCGGGTTGATGATGAACTGTATCTGGTCTGGTGAGATGGTGTGGTGTATGTATCCCTGTGACATGCCATCCGGGTCACCTATGAAGGCCAGAGAGCCCTCGTCTCCCTCGCCCTCTCCATCCGGCAGGAAGGCCATGCAGTCCTCCTCACCCTCCTCGTCCAGGCGGATGGGGTCTTGCTCGATGAGCACAGTGGTGCGATCGTAGACCCTTCCCGAGGAGGACGAGGGTCCCGAGATTATGCCGTTGTCTTTGTCATAGTCGGCCATCTTGTCCTCATCTTCCTCCTCATGGTCCAGTTTGTCCACATCCTCTTCCTCGTCCTCAAAGAGCATGGCTGTCTCCGTGAGAGGGCCATTCTCTCCCATGATCCTGATGGAGGAGCTCAGTCCTGGATTTGTGTCCTCGTGCTTGCTTTTGTTGCGGCTGGAATAAGTTTAAAGAGGTTAAAGACAATATTCATAGTACACAATGTCAGGTAATCAAACTGAAAACCGGATTTATCGGCCTGAATCATGGACTGAACTGGCAACTGACTTCTTCATAGTGCAGTCATTGTCAATTAATACTGAAACTATTAAAAAAAAATTTTGGTAATTAAAATAAAGGTGAAATAAAATAAGATATAAATATCAGATGAAAAACTTAAACTATTAAAAATAGTTTTCAGTAAATCAAATGCAGCTGAAATAATATAAGCTATAGATATCAATGAAAAACTTAAAACTTAAAAAAAAACAACAATTAAAAATAGTTTTCAGTAAATGAAATAAATCTGAAATAAAATTGGATATAAATATCAAAAGAAAAAATGTTATAAAAATAAATTAAAACTAAATAAAAATATAAAAAAACAAATAAAATGACAAGCACATAAAATCTAAATAAAAATTCAAATAAATTTAAAAGGAAAATTGAAAATATAAAAGGTTAAATCAAAATATTAACACTGTTCCTCGTTGAATCGTTATAATAACCGCGGGTCCTCATTGTTAAATGAGGAACAATGAGGAAATGTCAAGAACTATTAATGTGTGCAACTGTGCATTATCAAGAAATAAAAATGCTCATTTGTAATTTTCTGTACATTTAAACCAGCATAATTACTATGAAAATTACATATCCACGTATAAGTTTTACAGTATGGTTGTAATAAATTGTATTCTAATATAAATAACAAATAATGTAATGTTTTGGAAAAATAGTACCGTGTCTCGTACTGTCACGAGAAACTAGGACAATGCAGGGAAACTATTTTTGGCTGGTGTTAGAGTAACAACAAAACAATAAGGGTAAAGGTGCATTTGTAAACTGAAAACACTGTTGCCATGTACCTATAACAAATACACACACAATGGTCAACCTAAAACAAAAATGACCCAAACACACCGGCTGTGTCGCAAAACCTAGCTGAGCTGACTACCTAGACAGCACTTTGGACATCATTATGTTCATTATGAGTCAACACTGAAAATGATGATAAAAGGTTTTAAGATTACGACGTTATCTAGAAAGACACCTTACTAGGTTATAATGGCCATAAATTCTGTCTAGGAAGGCAGCGTACCATCTCATGATGCTCGAAATGCTCTAGGTGGGAAGCTCATTAGGTTATTATACCCAAAAACACTGTCTAGGAAAACAGCTGACTAGTTATTATGCCCAAAAATGCAGTCTAGGAAGGCAGCTGACTGGGGCGATATGTAAGGCTCACAGTGTACACTATGAATGCCTTTCTCATACTCCTATAACAGTTACAAAGAGGACATTATGTCTCAAAGCGATGGACATACTGTGACAACAAAAAACCCTCATAATATTACACAATGAGCCTTTAAAGCAGGTGAGTTTATACGACTCCCGAGGCTTCTGTCATTCTGGACACTTTCTAGAAGTTTCCATGTTCACATTGACATTGATGACAGCCACAAGTCAGACACGAAAACATTCACATTTATCAATTTGAACACACATAGAGAAACCCGAGACCTTAAAACATGCAGTCCTTAATGACATCCACTCATAAATCATATTCAGCTTAAACTGGAAATATTCTAATAAAAACAAACTGGCATGTCAAGTACTGCTAACTGTTTAGCTCACCTGTGTATTGAAGCTCCAGTCATTAGTTCATCTGCCTTTGTCCGGTCAACATTAATAATATCCCGAAGACAAAAGCACGGAAATAATTAAGCAACACATATTTAATATAATCACTTAAAACGGTCGTGTTTTATTAAGAATGCACTGAGAAGCTAACAGGCTAATGTGCTAGCAGGGTCTTCATTCACATCAATGACAGGCGTTAGCTTCGTTAGCACGCCATTAGCACTAGTTTATAGATCATATCGTTAGACACAAGCGCAGTTAATTTGTCGCTTTAACCGGTTAAAGTGTAAAATACTTTGGACACGGCGAATAAGTGATGGTTTAAGCATACAGGGTGGATGTGTGCTAACAGATTCAACCCGTTAGCATTGAACAGAAACTCTACTGAAACTGAGACAAGCCATTAAAACACCTGAACGACACCGACACACTCTTATACCGCAAAATCAAGCAGATTAAAATTATTAGATGTATTTACCAGTGTTATAAAGACGCTAGAGGCCTCTGTAATGTTGTGTATCGGGTCCTGTCTTCTTTCCTCCCCAGCGGCACCATCATGAACAGCAGCGCACACAGACTCCAGATCAGTTCAGTTCACTGTTTAAAGTCAGAGCCCTTCACTTCACTCCAGCGTTCAGGCGGTTCACATCAGCTGCTCCTCTGGAGCATCACAGCACTGACAGATTCTTCACAGCACAACATCTGCTGTTATCTGAACGACCTACTAGTAAACAAGCAGCAAACATTTATTCCGAACATATCAAAGTCAACTTTATTGTCATGTTTAGCGCATTGTGTGGGTTTTTGGCGAACTGTGTAGACTAGTACCTCAGTTAATTATACTGGGTTAACGGTAACACTTTACAATACTACCAGTCAACATTTTTTTGAATATTTTTTTTTAAATAATATATTGTAAAATGTAATTTCAAAGCTGAATTTTCAGCATCATTACTCCAGTCACATGATCCTTCTGAAATTATTCTAATATGCTGATTTGCTGCTCAAAAAACCATTTATTATTATTAATAATCTTTTGAATGGTATAGTGTATAATGTTACAAAAGCTTTTTATTTCAGATAAATGCTGATCTTTGGATCTTTCTATTCATCAAAGAATGCTGAAAAAACCCTCAAATATTAATAAATGTTAATATGAATAATTAAAAAAAAAATAAATAAAAAAAAATAATAATAATAATAAAAAATGTATATCAGCATATTAGAATGATTGATCACGTGACACTGAAGACTGGAGTAATGATGCTGAAAATTCAGCTTTGAAATCACATTTGAAATGACATTTTACAATATATTCAAATAGAAAGCAGTTATTTTAAATAGTATAAATATTTCACAATATTACTGCTTTTGCTGTATTTCGGATCAAATAAATGCAGGCTTGGTGAGCAGAAGAGAATTCTTTAAAAACATTAAAAATCTTACTGTTAATAAACTTTTGACTGCAGTGTACGTCTCATTAACATTAATTATCTGCTTCTGTAGCATTTATTAATGTTAATTTTTACATTTACTAATACATTTTCAAAATCAAACGTATATTATCATTGTGAACTAACATGAACAATTGTGTTTTTATTCATTAACATTAATAAATGCTGTAAAAATATATTGCTTAGTTAGTTAGCAACTAATCATGCATTAACGAATTGACCTTATTGTAAAGTTTGACCAAATTAACATATTATGACCAAAATTGTTTATTTACTAGTATTTATGGTAACACTTTACAAGTTTCTGTTTATTAGCATTAGATAACTACATTAGTTACCATGAACTAGCAATGAAAAAACTTAGAAAGCATTTGTTGATGTTAATTCCAACATTTACTAATTCATTATTAAAATCAATAGTTGTTTTGTTAATATTATTTAATGGACCTGAGCTAACAATGCGAATTTGTACTTCTATTAACTAATATTAATAATATTAACAAAGATTAATAAATACAGTAACAAATGTATTGCTCATTGTTAATGTTAGTTAATGCATTAACTACTGTCAACTAATGGACCTTATTAATGGACCCAAGTGTTACCGTATTCATTCAATAGTGAATTTCATTTGCATATATATATATATATATGTATGTATGTATGTATATATATGTATATATATTCATTACATATGATGTTATCATCAAAATAAATGCTCAATATTGGAATCACTGTGAAATACTTGTAATGGTTTTGAGGAATAAACGCTGTGTTTACCAACATATGTACATCGTCTTTAAACCAGTTATTATTTTAATACTTTATTTAGGTTGGTCTAAAAAAAAATCTTGAAAATGAGATTATATATAATAAAAATTATATATAATAAAAAGATTATATATAATAAAAAGACAAATATATAATGGATTAATACCTCAATATTTAAATTACATTCTCTAAATGATTTAGCGACTAAATAATATGAGCAATTATTTAGAAGAAACAAAAGGAAAAGACAAACACTGAGATTGTTATAATTGTTGAGATTTAATATAAAAGAACAACTGTTTTTTTTATTTACAAACATCAAAATACAAATATATTTAATTAAATAACCATTATCTTTCCAATAAAAACTCCCATTTGCTTTGTAATAAAACAAATTAGCTTCAATATCTGTTTAAAATGCTTTGAATTAAATGGCAACTACAAAGTATATCGACATAATTCTGAAACCTGGAATAAAAACAGGCGTGTGAAATAATAAAGGCAACACGATGCAGTACATTATTCGGGTATTTTATCATGAATGTCTCTGTCAGAGGGCATCTGGACCAAGAAATGCTGGAAAAACTCCTTCACCTTTCTTTTCTCTGTGGAATCTTGCTTTGTGGGCGACCGGAGCAAAATGCCAGCAAAGATCGGGGCTGTAAACACAAGACAAATGAGTAGAGATGTAACGATTCACTCAACTTGCGATTCGATTTTTTTTAACAAAATGTGATTTAAGACAAATTATAAATTAAATGTGTCCTTTTATTATTGCTTGGATAAAATGCTGCACGTTTCTTTGTGAAATTGAAATATAACACTATAATA